GGGGCCCTTTGGGTGTGTTTTTTTTTTTTTTTTTTTTTTTTTTTTTTTGACACAGGATCTCACTATGTAGTTCAGGCTGGCCTCAAACTTACTAGACAGCCCAGGCTTGGTCTTGAATGCACAACAGTCCTCCTGGCTCAGCCTCCCAAATTCTGGGATTTCAGGCATGCACCACCATGCCAAGCTTATGAGTGGCTTTTTAAGAGGAAGAGGGACTGAGGCTTCCATGCTTGCTTGATTTCACATCCTGATGTGCCTGCCATGTTACAATGTAGCAAGAGGACCTTCACCAGATGCTGAACTGATGCTGGTGCCATGCTTGTGACTTCCCAGCCTCCAAAACTGTGGGTAGACTAGACTTGCTAAATTGCCTGGTTTCAGGTATTTTGTTATAGGCAGTAAAAAATGGACCAAGGCATAGGCCCATACCAAATGGGTATGTGACCATGAGCATGAGTAAATGAATTAGAATGGGAATGAACATCAGTGAAGTTGAGGATGTGTTATAACTGTGAATAATTTAGAATATAGTTGTGATTTAAAATTTCAGGTGTGGGCCAATCAGAGTTTGCTGTTGCTGACATGGTTGACATGTTTGTTTTACTACTGCCTCCAGCAGGAGGAGATGAGTTGCAGGTAAGTTTTTATTCCTCCCTCACTGCCCCCCACCTCAAAAATATAAAAGGTACATTTCTAGTGTTGTATTTTTATAAATTAAGTAAAATTAGTGTAAAGAAACATCATTCACATTGGCTAAAATACCTGTGTCAAAGTAGGTTCTTTATATTTTTTGCTCACTTATAGTAATGACTTTCAACATGTAACTTGAATTTTTCCATTTAAATGAGTAGAATAAATGGATAGGTCAGGCCGAAAGCCACTATACAGGTGTTTGTTGTATAGTTGGTACAAACTTCTTACATCGCTGTTTTTCACCAGAATCCCACCATCATAATTTGTATATTGTACAACAGGATTCTTACTGTCTTCCAGCAATGCTGTTCTGGCATTAATTTAATGCAGAGTTTGTAGGTGGAGGATGTAGCCTTCTATAAGCTTCTTCTCACTTTAGACAGTAGCTGCGAGCTCCAGGATTCCCAGACTATCTATACCTCTGAGCAGCTAGGTACAAATTTGAAGGTTCTTGTTGCACTTCAGATTCAATAAGTCAATGAAATAGCTCATAAAACTCAGGAAGGCGCTCTATTACAATTGTAATTTTATGATAAAGGCTACAGATCAGGAACAGCCCAATGAAGAGACACTTAAGGAGAGGTATAGGAGTGTCCCAAACACAAAGCTTCTGTGTCTTCCTCAGGATACATTTCCCTCTTGAACACTGATGTGTCACCAACCAGGAAGCTTTCCTGGACTGGTGTGGTCCTCAGTTTTTGTTGGAGTTTCATTATGTAGGTATGATTGGTCACATCATTGGCCACATGAGTAAACTCAGTCTCTGGCTCCCCTCCCTGCACAGTGATCTGGATGGCTTCATCTAACACACTCCTCCAGTCATCTGTCACACAGTAGGTGTTTGTGGTGTGCTCTGCCCGAATGCTGAGTGATCACAATGCATGAATTTGGGTATAGTCCTAGGCACCCACCATAGATAGGGAAGATACTCTTAGCATTCAAGAAATTCCAAGATTCCCTATTAAGAACTTCAAAGATAAGATAAATTATTCTACAAAATTTCCCTTTTAGCTTGATAATTCCAAAAATTGTGATAGATTATGGATGCTGTGATTTAGAAACATTTATTAGAATTTAATAATTGAAGGTAATATCTAAAATATTTGAAAAAATTCTAATCTTAGGTGGAAAATTTAATCCCAAAATAAGATTCTGGCCTTAAATTTTATCCTTTATTACTGGCATTTTGGGTATAACATAATTTAAACCAAGAGATTGGGACATTTTTAGTTATCAGGCTATTTTTCTTAAACACTTATTGAAAAAGATTCTATATACATTTAAGGAAACTTGGGAAGACTTTGTTTCTAGAAATGCAGATGGCAGTGATAGACACACCCTACTGATGGATGGGTGTATTCATCTAGCTCATGAAAAGTAGAATTCATCATGAGACAAGATGAATTGTTTCCTGCCACTCAATCATGTTGTGTCTTGATGATCTGTTTACTCTAATTCTGAATATATTTCACCATGTGAATCTAAATTTGATAGATATGTTACAGATGGCTTCCATAATCCCAAGAGCCAGTGCATTTTAGTTATTTCTGTTAAATAATTGTGATTCGTATCACCCAAGGCTTAGGAAGATGCAGGAAAAAAAAGTCAGTGAACTGTGTGGCTTTCCAAATTGTAGCATTAACTGATTGTCCTGTTTTTATGCAAGTTGTGTTTAAATGAAATGTTTCTGATAAGTCTCATTCTTCCCTTTCTTTTCTCCAGGGTATCAAAAGGGGTATAATTGAGATGGCAGATCTGGTAGCTATAACTAAATCTGATGGAGACCTGATTGTGCCAGCTCGAAGGATACAAGCAGAGTATGTGAGTGCACTGAAATTACTTCGCAAGCGCTCAGAAGTCTGGAGACCAAAGGTTAGTTTGCATTCCATTCTCCATTTGTCACTCTGAGTGGACTGTGGACATTAGGATGTAAGTCTCAAGCTAGACATATAATCAATCTTTGCTTGCATGTGAAGATTATAGTTTTTAAAATATGACAAAGCCAGACTGCATAGTCATGATTTTAAATATAATCTTTCAACCACTGGATGTCAAGAACTAGAATATAAGGTGATGGATTAGATTGTTTAATGCTTGATTTGAGGCATTTGGAAGTGATAGTAAATCTGTCCCGAAAGAGAATCATCCTTAAAGATTGTGGAACAATTAATAATTTGATTATCTATTTTGGAATTTGAGTATGAGAAAAGGCTTGTGATTTGATACAAGCCCTTGATATAAGTCTGTTCTTGTGCTTGTTGGGTGTTTTTTTCAATAAGAGAGAGGTAGCTTGGTCTGAAGGTGGACACTATGCTATTAAACAATCAGCTTTGGTCATCACAATGAGAACAATGGTGGTTTATCTTACAGTCAACTTCCATTTTCCCCAGGCACATTGCCCTGTGTGGAGTCAGGAGCTGTCTTATACATGCAGGCTCCTGGTGCTTAGCTACTAGTAGTTGGTGAATCAGGCCAGTTTGACAGAGGCAGTGGAGCTGTTCTCTCAACTTAGTTTCATTTTTCTGGAACTTAGGTCTCAGACAAACTACCTGGATTGCCTTTCTCAGCCTGTGACTCCTCAGTCCTCCAGGGTTCTTCTGACCATCTGCAAGGAACCTTAAATTGAAATAAATCACTAAGCTAGAGACTTTGATCAGGAATCAGTGTCTTATTTCTGCTGTACACTTAGTAATAGTAGGTACATCACCTCAGTATGTGTGTGTGTGTCAATATATGTACGTTGACACAGCACTAAAGTCTCATTTTTGTCTACTTTATACTCTGTAAGAATTAATGGCAAATATCAGAGTCCTCAAGAAAATGATTCCTATCATTTTCAATACAACAATTTTTGTTCTTCCTTTTCATTAGGTGATTCGTATATCTGCCAAAACTGGAGAGGGGATCACTGAAATGTGGGATAAAATGAAAGAATTCCAGGACCTAATGCTTGGCAGTGGGGAGCTGACTGCCAGGCGACGGAAGCAGCAGAAAGTTTGGATGTGGAATCTCATCCAGGAAAACGTGTTAGAGCACTTCAAGACCCACCCCACAGTCCGGGAACAGATTCCTGTTCTGGAAAAAAAGGTTCTCAGTGGGGCCCTGTCCCCAGGACTAGCAGCAGACTTGTTATTGAAAGCTTTTAAAAGCAGAGACTAATAAAATTTGTCAACTATTTTACATATTGTATCATAAATGTTTTAACATCCAAAAATTCACTTGTGTATTTATGTTATAACTCTTCGAAAGTGCCTTGACTTGTGAACCATGCTTAAAAACTTGATGGCAGTTGGACTTAGGTGGCAAGGTTAGGCAGTCATGCAGAGTTTGCAAGGAACCTGTTGTATGTTACTGACTTCTGTTTCCTTTGTTCTTACACCCTCACATAGTGGCCTGTAGGATTATTTTTTCTCATGAGTCAGAAGCAGAGAAAAAAATGAGAGAAAACATATGAATCATAAAGTGTTTGCTTTGATTCTGTCTTCCCTGGGTTTCTAGGGAAAATGTAAGCAAGAGTGACCACGTTTTTGTAGTCTTACTTGAAACTGGAACAATACACAGTGGGTTTCTAAGAGTTGAAAATGTACCAATTTCATTATATCTGAAATGGCCATGTACACTAGAGGCAAGAATAGCTGGAATGTTGAAATGATGTGCATACAGCGTTCAAATCTACTGGCCTGAATGTGCAGACCATTACCCCATGACAGGCAGAAAAGTCAAAAAGGAACAAGGAAAAGCATCTGCAGATGTGGGCCTGTAACCGCCAAGAGCTTGAGTAAAGTGCTGAGACATCCTGTGAGCTAAGGATGATTCAGGGTTATTCAGTTTGAAGGTTATAAAGCATTTGGTTCTCTTCTTCCTTGGCCATATCACTCTCTATTAGCATTTCAAAGAAGTATATTTTTTTTATGGTAAATAACATGTTTTGTTATATTGAAGAAGAGATTGGTTTCTAGAGATGGACTCTGGGTTTAAACTCAAACCAGATCTACCATTACACTTGTAACCTTTCTAGGTTTCTGTTTCTGACCTGGTAAATGGAATTGGCATATAACTTTAGAGTTAGTGAGAAAGTAATGAGGTGACACAGGAAATCATTTATCGTCGTGGTGGTATAAAGGGAATACTCAAATGCTGCTCATTACCATGATTTCGTTTAAAGTTGTGGGTACCCAAAGCTGCATAGGCCTTGTATATAATCCAAATTTGGGCCCATGATCTTATTACTACCATCATGCTCTTGTGATATTTTATGATCATCTTCAAAGCACTATTCTAGTTAATTAGAATAGTTAATTTTTTTAATAAGTCTTGGACCGTTTGATGGTAGTTGTAACTATGTGCATTTGAATAAATGGTTTTTACTACTAAAATTTCCCCGTTGCCTATAATGTCCTCTCATAAGTTTCAAATACACTCTTTCTGAACCCTTTGGAATACTTTACATAGTGTGTTGGCTTTTGGTGTTTCTAACTCTCCTGGTTCCTATCTGGAATCAAATTTTTTGAGTATTGTTTACCAAACATTCCTTTACATTTTTGACAGATTTGTGAGATTGGCAGACTTATTTAAGTACGAAGGGTTAGGAGAAATTGAAATGTTATCCAGTTGATTCTCCTTATTCCAGAAAGGACCTCTGTTAAACCATCCTATCAGATGAAAAAGTGCTGTTTAGAAACTGCCAGAGAGCATTTCATAATTTCCCGTAGGAAGGCGTTACAGGGAGAGACAGACCTCCTGCCACTGGGAAACAGAGTAAGCAGTAATGGTGCCTCCCTCTCCTTCTAGGGGAGGGAGAAGAGGGGGCTTTGTAAGCTTCAAGTTTAGCTATGCATGTCTTCTCAGTTTGAACTGCTGTCTAAAAGTTTGAACTACTTTTAAATGTTATATATGTAGTTGTAAAAATCATTAGAAATCCCCCATGTCCTCCTTATGCTGTTACTGCACCATTAGCTGTGATATAGAGACCGATTTCTGAAGTATTTTTCACCTTTATTACTGTTGTTTGCCATACTAGAGACTGTATAACATAGTGAAGTATTTGCGGTTTTGCTTTTTCTTCAAATTTACGCTTCCCTTGTTAAGACCAAGGATGCCACCCCTTTCCCCATCTGTGATTCTGCTCTGCTGGTCCCTTACCTGGTCGAAGGCATCAATTGTGATTTGGCTATATTAGGGCAAATCTCACCTCTACTAGCCACCTGATTTTAAGCAAGATATTTCTGTGTGTGCACACTATCTATAAAATTCATAGGCAGATGTTCGTACAAATATGCATAGACATTTATGAATTTTTATTCTACAAAACAAACTGATATTTAATTTAACCTTGGCCAAACTACTTCATCTGTCTCTGCCTCCATTTCCTCACTGTTAAACAAGATTGGCAATAGTGTCCACTCAGAGCTGTTGAAAGGAACCTTTTTGTTAACATACAGACAGTAACTGAACATAATTGCTAAATAAATATTGGAGAAGAAATAGTAGTCACCTCTAATATGGTGGTGATTATTAAATGAGTCACAATATTCCATTTTAGAAAGAATAATTATTTTCTGAAAAAAATTCCATAGGTTGACTTTGCCTCACCTAAAAGTATATTTACCATTAATATTGTAGGCAAGAAAAAATGTGTTGTTACAAACCAAGCTTCAGGACTGACATTTCCCTAAAACAATTTTCAATCTCATTAAAATGACCGAGGTCACTTTCATAGTCATCATCAGCTGTCACAGTACATCCTGACTAGGTTCTTGTTTGTTTTTTGTTGTTGTTGTTTTCTTCATAGCCACTCCGACTGTGGCTATTTACTTGTGATCTCTAAGCTTTTGTGGCTGTTAGGCAGTTGCACAAAAACAACAGCAAATGAACAGCATATTCATGCTATTCAGTGTTTGTGTAGCCCAACTTTTAAAGCCAAACAAACAAAACTCAATGGAAAAAGGTCAATGAAAACCATTCAAACATTGCATTCACCCAGTAGATTGCCACCATCATTAAAAGCTAGTGGACAACAAAGACTCCAAGAACCTAAGTAACTCCTGGGATCTATACACTGGTGCAGATGGTGGAGCTTTGCTGCCCCAAGGCCCATGAAGTCCTTTGGGAGCTTCATAAGTGCAAATGCTCCTGAGCCAGAGTTTATGAAACCCCTCTTAGAGGTGAATTCTTACAATGCCGGTGGGTGTGCTTATCTTGGATGCCCCAGTCATTCAGGTAGTGTCAGAGTGGCGGCCAGCATGACAGGCCACTGAGTATTAGCACTGTTACTCTGGTGCCACTATGAAAATGAAGACCAGGTCAAAGTTTCCTGATAAAAGAAGAATCAGCATGTCTCTTTAACAATTTGGTTTTTTTTTTTTTTCCTACTATGATAGTTTGGTTAGTTGGTTACTAAATTTATGAACATTTTTATCCCACCGAAATTAATAGTATGATTCCTGTCACATGAAGCTTAAGTAAGTTTCTTTCCTTGTCATTTGTAAGGTGGGTTTGCTTAAAAAAAAAATTAGAGTGGCACTAAAGCAGTTATATTGGATGTTTTTTCAAAAAATTAACGATTTCATAAAATGTAGATAATATGAGTTAGAGGGAATTAATAATGCCTTGATGGTATAATGTTAACTTGGAAGTCAGGTATAAAGCTAATTTAGAAGCTGAGACTGAAAGGTCACCAAGAGTTCAAAGCTGGCCCAGGCTACGGGATGAATTCAAGGCCAGTCTGTAATATACAGTGAAACCCTGTCTCCCCCCAAAAAACTTTTTAAATAACCCGTGGCAGTTCATTTTGCTGAGTCACTTTAGCTTCTTGATGGAATGAAATGAGGGCATATGTAAGTCAGGACATTATTCTACCCTTAGAAAAGTCAAGGGCTTCATCTAAGTTGTTGCTTTTAACACAGAGGAAACTGTGTGACCCCATCCTCAAAGCTCTGTGACATCCATTGGCCAATCTCAAGGTGTGGATAGAATTCTGAGAAGTATTTTAAAGCCATTTATCAGGCTTGTACTCCTATGACACGTCTTGCTATGTATGGGACCCAGCTATCTCAAGGATCAGTGTCCTCTTAGGACTAAAAACACATTAGCATTTACAGCCCAGTGTTGCTGAATCGCAGGCCAGCATGTTGTGCGGGAGCTCAGTCCCCTGATCTCTGTAGAGAGCTTTTCCCACACAGTCACTTTTCAAATGAAAATCATCTCCTTAAAGTGGTGTCCAAGTAGCTGGTACTCTGCTTTTTTCCTAGAATCTTCTTAGGTTGAATCATATATATATGCATACAACTGTATCAGTTAGTGCCTACTAGAGAAATAGATTTAATACAAGATACACAAATAGATAGAATTATAAGATTGGTTTACAGTGGCCGCCCGAAGAGCCAGGTAAGGAAGAGTGCTGAAGGGCTGTCTGCATTGGAGAGCTGAAGGATCCAGTAGGCCTGGAGCCCACTGTAGTGTCCTGGGCAAGTCCATATCAGGAGGCCGAAGGAAGCCGGGAGATGACGTCCGAAGTGAAGGTGAAGAAACAGAAACGGCCTTTCTTCTTTCTTTCTCTTTATACCATGCAGGTGATGAACTGCCCTAAGGTGGATCTTCTGTCTCCAGTAAATCCCCTAAGCCACACTCAGAACTGTGCTGCTCCACATTAGTTGGCCATTTCTTCCCCAAGTCAGCACAGTTACCTATCATAGCAACCTCTCAAAAACACTGTCATTCACTAGGCGTGATGATACATGCCTGTAATCTCAGCTGCTGGGGAGGCTGAGGCAGGCGAGTTCGAGATCAGCCTCAGCAACTTGAGGCCCTGTCTCAGATAGATGATAGATGGATAGATAGGTAGATAGATAGGTAGATAGATAGATAGGGCTAAGAATGTAGCGCAAGGCAAGGCACACAATCCTATCTCCAAAACCAGAAAAAAAGTATCACTTTCATTTTACAGAAAAGAAATTGAACATCAGAGATACTAGATCACCATTCCTAAATGTGATGTGTTATATACATTAGGTTCAAATAATACTATTTTCCAAATTTCTCAAAGCACTTTTTGAATGTTTTTTCATCCTTGTTGTTAGCTCAGTGACAGATATTATCGTCATTTATGGATACCTCTGTGATAAGAGTGTATAGGGGGTTTGTTCATAATTCAAAGGAAAACTCCAGCTCAGTGTTTTATGGGTTGTCTTCTATGACCTAATATCCTAAATTTTGCTCTTTTGGGTATTTTTCCAGTTCATTTTTCTGCTTCTGTTTGATGATAAAATTTTAGACATTAAAAACCAACCCACCAGCACTCGTGAGGCTTAGGCAGAAGGATCACCATGAGTTCAAGGCCAACCTGGGCTATGTAGTGAGTTAAAGTTCAGCCTAAACTACATAGCGAGACCCTGCCTTGAAAACAAAACAAATCAAAACCCAAAACAACCCAAACCCAAACAAAGTTCCATAATATCAGTTTATGTATTAGCTAGAGTCTTGGCTAGAAATGATAGAAATCTACTAGCTTGGGCAAAAAGAGGAATTTATTGGCTCATAAAATCATAAGGAGAAAAGGGTAGGGGTACAGAAAGCTGCATGGACACAAACGTGAAGTTTCACCTTGTCTTCTCTCTTCTCTGTGTGTTGACTTCATTTTCCTAGGTTCCTGCACATAGCTGGAGATGTGACCAGCAGTGGTGTCCAGATGTGCTGCCCGCCACCTGTGGCACTCCTAGGAGGTGGTGGAACCTTTAGGATGTGGGGCTTCCTGAAAGGAAATTAGGTCATTGGGGCGTGGCCTTGAAGGGAATGTTGACTTTGCCTTTTTTCTCTCTCATTTCACTTCTGGGCTACTGTGAGGTGAGCAGGTTTGTCCCACTATGGCCCCTGCCATGAGGTTCTACCTCTACCATGACTCTTGTGATCTGTACACTTTTTAAAGACTGAATAATATCATACAGGTATATCACATTTTCTTTATTCATCTGTTGATGAGCATTTAAATTACTTCTACATCTTTTTGCTGAGTAATGCTACATGTGAATAATACTGGGTGTGCAAAATACCTCTGTGAGATTCTATCTTCAGTTTTTTGCATATATACCTAAAAGTGGAATTTCTGTGTCATATGGTAGTTTCTGTTTTTATGGTACAGGACATTGAACCCTGGCTCTTTATACAGAGATATATCCCCATCCCTTCTAATTTTTATTTTTTATTGAGGCAGGGTCTGTCTCACTAAATCATTATGCTGCACAGGCTGGGTTCAAACTTGCAATACTCCTACCTTAGGCTCCCAGGGTTCTGGGATTACAGGTGTGTAATTTTTTGAGGAACTTCCGCACTGCATTGCAGAGAGACACATCACTTCACATTCCCACCAACGGTGCATACACC